TTTGTCCCTACACGTTGATTGAGTGAGCAACCTAAAATCCTATGCTACTTGCTTACATTCTCTCCTGTTTTGTGTTTGTATCCAATGGCAAACAGGTTGTGGCTGAGTGTGGAAAGCTTCCACTGGCTCTGAAGGTGATTGGAGCTTCTTTGCGCGACCAGAATGAAATGTTTTGGTTGAGTGTTAAAACCAAGCTATCTCAAGGTCAAAGCATTGGTGAATCCTATGAAATCAATCTGATTGATAGAATGGCAATCAGTACTAACTACCTGCCAGAAAAGATCAAGGAGTGTTTCTTGGACCTGTGCTCTTTTCCTGAGGATAGAAAGATTCCTCTTGAAGTTCTAATCAACATGTGGGTTGAAATCCATGACATTCACGAAACGGAAGCTTATGCCATTGTGGTGGAGCTATCAAACAAGAACCTTCTTACCTTAGTGAAAGAGGCACGGTATGCAAATTGCAAACTTAGAATTTCCTTTCAACTTATTTAATCTGTTTATTCTTTTTCATTCCTCTCTCGATAAGAGCACTATTCTAAGGTTTAATGATCGTACATTGTCTATGTAATAAGTATATTATTAACCAATCAAAAACAATTGCTTGTATGAATTTTAAGGTAGTTATTGTAAAACTTAACGAATTTACCATACATAGTAGTTTGTGATTAAATGACAAAGTAGAGCTGTTTTACACCAACAGTTTTCTCTTATTCTAATACCCTTTTGGACATTTTGATTTTCAGTGCCGGTGGTATGTATAGCAGTTGCTTCGAGATTTCTGTCACTCAACATGATATACTGAGGGACCTTGCTCTTATTTTGAGCAAACGTGGCAGCATCCATGAACACCGAAGGCTAGTTATGCCAAAACGAGAAGAAAATGGACTTCTCCCTAGAGAGTGGTCAAGATGCAAGGACCAACCCTTTGAAGCTCAGATTGTTTCAATCAACACAGGTATATACATATATATCTATATACCAATACTTTATTGATGATCATTTTTCTTGTTCTGTGACTTATCTATGTGATGAATTTCACATTGCAGGTGAAATGACCGAAATGGACTGGTTTGAACTGGATTTCCCCAAGGCTGAAGTGTTGATTATCAATTTTGCATCCAGTGATTACTTTTTACCTCCCTTCATGAATAGAATGCCAAATTTGAGGGCATTGATAATAATAAACTACAGTACCTCATACGCTCGCCTTCATAATGTTTCAGTTTTTAGGAATTTGACCAACTTGAGGAGTTTGTGGCTTGAAAAGGTTTCCATCCCTCAGTTATCAGGCACTGTCTTGAAAAACTTGGGCAAATTGTTTATAGTTCTCTGCAAGATTAACAACAGTTTGGATGGGAAAGGGTTCCCTAACCTCTCTGAGCTCACCCTTGATCACTGTGATGATCTAACTCACATTCCCTCAAGCATTTGTGGAATGAAGTCACTCCAGAACTTGAGTCTCACGAACTGCCACAATTTGACCCAACTGCCAGATGAATTTGGCAAACTAAGATCCCTAGAGATCCTCCGTTTATATGCTTGTCCAAATCTAGAAACACTTCCCACTAGCATGTGTGACATGAAGAGATTGAAGTATATTGATATTTCTCAATGTGTTAACCTCACATGCTTCCCTAACGAGATTGGTAGATTAGTAAGCTTGGAGAAGATTGACATGAGGGAGTGCCCCATGATTAGGTATTTACCAAAATCTGCAGTGTCATTGCAATCTCTGCAGCTTGTAATTTGTGATGAGGAAGTATATGGGATGTGGAGAGATGTTGAGATGGCCAAGCCAAATCTCCATATTCAAGTATCAGAACAGTACTTTGATCTGGATTGGCTTCAAGAGTGATACGTTATTGTGATGTTGTTGTTCACAATTCGTTGTATATACTTGTTCATAGCCTCAATTATGAAAAGGAAAATTTTCTTTTTCCAGAAGTGATGGTGAAAATCGTGGCACTATCTTTTCACTAGTGCTAGGTACCATAACCCTTGTTACTTCAAATTTCCAAGAATTAATATTCGTGGTAGCTAGTGATAACCCCAATTTAGTTACTATTTAGTTGAGTTAGTTGACAAAAAAACTTTCCAATAATATTATATCATGTTATATATTAAGGTGGCTAGAAAAAAATGAAAATGGACGGATAGATTTCCAAAAGGAGATGCTTTTTCCATTTTGATGTGGAAAGTTGGGACCAAAATGGTGGAATTTTGAGGCCACCATGATTACCTATGTACATGTCCGTTGTACATGTGCGACCAGTTCTGGCACGTGTTTGGTGTTGCGTTTTAAGAATTGATTTATCAAAATCAATTTTCTAAACGCAGAAACTATTTTTATCAGTTTCAGGTAAAATTGATTTTCACCCTTGAAATTGTGTAAAGAAGAAAAAACCAAACATTTATTTAAATAGAGGAATTATATTTTTTGAAAAAAATACGTGCGTTAGCATGATGCAACGCTCATCCAAGCACGCTGCTAGATTGATACACGAAAACGCGTTAAGAGAAACAAAAGAAACAAAAACTGAAAGCAACCCATTCATGGAAACGTTTTTGAGTTCAGCAAATTCGCACATGTCGCTGTCGTGTCTCTACCTTGAAGCTTCCTTGGTCCATTTCTTACTTATCTTCTTTAAAAAATATCATTCCTTTTGGTCAATGTCTTCCTTTGATTATTTATCCTCTATTATTGTTAATCCATGAATAGTGCAAGTCAAGGCTCCCCGGTCAACTTCATCATCAAAACCACCAAAAATACTTTTTGTTCAATGTGATTGTGACGTGGAGTGTTAATACTCAATACGTGTAAAAATATTATAAAAAATACGTTTTGGGTATAAATAACACCGATATCAATGGACTATTAAATCAAATGACATTCATGTTACTATTCTTAAGGAACCATCTCTTGTAAACACAAAAAAGAAAAATCATGGTTAAAAGAAAAGAAATTCTCCACGATAGAAATTAATCATCAATAAAATTAATAAGTTGTTAACACTAATGATATGATTATAAAAAATATTAATATTCTTATAACCCATATTAATTCAACTTGTAGCTATTAATCACACATTTTTTATTTTTCAAAGACATTTTTGCCCTTGCCTTTCATGCATAGGACAATTTTTTACTGGAATGTGTATTTATTCTTACCACAAAATATTTTTAAATGATAAAATATGTATAAATTATCATTAAAATAATGGTTTGTTAATTATCTATTTTATCATTAAAAAATTCAAATACATTTACTTTTATGCTTAATTTATATTTTTTATTATTAATAAATTAAATGACGTTCCTTAAATATTTTTATAATTTTATTGACTTTCACTACAACAAAATTGTCATATAGTCACCCTATAGTGACATTATACATGTCACTAAAAATTACTTTACCTACACAATAACTACAATATATATGTTGGTATATTATTAAAAAGTGTGGGTATAGACTATAGTGACACACAAAATATATTATTAAATCTCATTCAAAATCAACACTAAAATTGTGTGTAATTATATGTTAAATAGACATGTATGTACATATATTGTACTTATAGTGACATTTTTTATATGTCACTATATGTAACATTTCTTGTAGTGTCTCCACATATAACCTTAAAAGAAAGTAAAAGACGTGGCTAGACACTAATTAAAAATGTTTATCTTAAAAAATTCAAAATCACAGTAGATTAGTTTATGTAAAAGATACTAACTTTTTCTAACTTGATATATTTTTATATTTGTTTTTTTTTGTTACATGTGAAAAAATTCGTTTAATACATAAAATACTTGTTAGTTATTTATAGATGAGTACTTAACGTTGATTTGAGTAATTACCATGACCAATATCTACTTAAGAATTCCCCAATTAATTTTATTTTCTTATTAAAGCATTACACACCATGCTTATGTCTAATGCATGATGCTCCCCAGTCGCAAACACATCTACGTACTAACAGCGACATAACTGACATAGAAATTTTTTTTCATCCCAACTCAATTTATTGTTTTGACTTTCATCCTATATATTGCCGTAAGATGAGGGTTGTTGATTTAAATTCACTGCAAGACATTTGATAGGAAGAGTGTGTTTGAACGTTTATAAGTTAACTAAAAGATTATAATTTATAAGTTAAAAGTCGCAAACTTATAAGTTAATTGATTAAATTAAAACATTTAGTAAGATTAGCTAATAAGTTAGTTAGATAATGTAAAATTATATTTATTTATTTAAGAATAGGAGCGAGAGAATAACAAGTAAAATCATTTCTAAATTTAAAAGAGAGAAAAAAAATTCAAAGTAAATTAATGAAAATAAAAAAGAAAGGGAAAATAGTTTATAAATTATAAGTTATTTCAATTAACTTATGAAAATAAACTATAAGCTCCTAAAATAAACTCTAATACCAAACAAATTTATTTTTGTTAAACTAGGTTATAAGTTAGTCAAAAGAGTTTATAAGCTCTTCAAATATCTTCCTAAACACACTTTATGTATTTGAGTGAACTTTATAAAATTGATTCTAGTCAAAATTAATTATAGGTTTACTTGATTTGATATCATGTTTAAGATGTGTGTTGAGAATTGTATCGGTCAGCTTAGTCTAACTTAGTTGACCTTGCATCGAACTCGACCTAACCGAGTTGACCCCCTACTTGTCCCTATTGGGCCCATTAGCATCACAAAGCAAAACCCTAGACAGACTTATCTACAAATGCTTACAAGATCACATTCGCACTAGGTATCTCCTAGAATTTCAATATCACATTATCTAGCATAATATTTTTGTCTAAACACCATGATATATATTCAGAGATCAATACTAAGTGTCATCAATCGAACACTCACAAGCCAATGGTTAGGTCGAGACAACCAACAAAATCATCTTAAACTAACTCAAGAAGAGCATCGAACCCACCAAGGAAACATGGGTGGAAGAGTTGTCTAGCATTCTCTGGGCATACATTTGGAGCAAAAATAAAGGTGGTTGTGCCTAACCGAAAGATACCACCAAAGGGAACATTTGGAGCACCAAATGTATGGCAAACATTGGCTTGTTTTGGTGTCTATGCCAAAGGAACATGTTTTTCATGGTGTATATGCCATGTTCAACTAGTATCATGTGTCTGACTTGATAAGTAGTATCCCCAAAGACGCCATGATACCACCAAGGGAACATGGTTTGAAGAACTACGTAACATGCTACCCCCTTTTGCCTTGCATTTGAAGCAGACACCATAATACTAATTGAACTTGGTGAACCTTCTTATAGATGATTTCAGTTTTAGCAAAACACTAACAATGACATGAATGTAGAGTTCGACCTTGTTGAGGAAGTCATAGAGGAGGTGAGAAACAATGAGGCAATATGCAAATAATGAGTTGCTTGTCGCTACAAATCCAAGCTAAAACCAAGATCTTTCCAACCAAGCGTCGACCTTGTCTAGCGAGCTAATCAAGAGACACAACCAAAGAAATAGGCAAGTAAACTCGCCCCCACCTAAGGAGGCCCCTTTTGCATCACTAAAAGCCTAAACAATGAAGCATACTAACTTGAAGAACTAGGAGGTAAGTCATCCCTAAAACATGGAATACTACCCACCTGAAGTACTATTTCAGCTAAACTCATGTAGTAAGGTTGTGTACTCTTTTTCCTACCTTGATCTTTTCTCCCGTAAAAAAAGAAAGGGTGTTGGTTAAAGAGATTTTAATGAGGCACTTAACATGTAAGGATTTTAAATGACATATAATTGAAATTCCTTTTCTTTTCAATATTTGCAATAATTTTCATACAATTCTTGCCACGTCGTCAATTAGATCACAAGTTGATGAAGGTTACAAACTAACCACATCACCAATTAGATCACAAGTTGACCATGTTGCTAGTTAATTAAATCACAAGTTAACTATGTAGCCTATTGATCAGTAATTGACTAAGATCACAAGCTAACCACGTCGTCAATTCAATCATGAGTTGATCAAGGTCACAAGCTAACAACGTCACCAATTTGATCACAACTATCTAAGATCATCAGCTAATCACCCTAACATTTAAAATGATCACATGGGCTTTCGAGCTCTCAAGCATTAAGCGATTACGAGTTAATCAATTTTATGAGCTTCAGAGCTTGTTAATTAATTTTATGAGCTTCTAAGCTCTCAAGCATTAAATGATTACAAGCTAATCAATTTTATGAGCTTTCAAACCCTCAAACATTAATAATGGTGAGTTAAATACTTCAAACACAAAACAAATACAAGTTAATTAAACATATAACAGTATTGCACGAAAAACATGTGAAATTAAAAGAATTAATCAACACATGAAATAAAGATTGTTCAAAAGAAACAAATATTGTTTACACCGAAGAAAAAAATACTCAAACAAGGAAGTCATCTACCATCTGTTCTTCCACATTCTTCACAACAATGTCATAATCAACAACCTCCTCGCTTGGCACTTGGTTAACCGCCGATTCAGCCACAAAATCTTCCTCAACAATGAGAACTTACACCATTACCTACTCAATAGTTGGCTCAATTGCGACATCGCCCCCCTCAATGATCACAGAAACATCTTCAACAATGACGATTTTGGCACGTTAAGTAGCAAACACTTTTCTTGCCTCTCTTTCCTCCTCATCGTCCTCATTAGGAATGACAAACTCATTCACAAACTCCCCAATTATACACATCATAGTCAATGTTTAGTTTAGTGTTTACATAAGATGTTTATGTTTAAGAGCTAAAAGACGGACATGCCTCGATAATGAACTTAATAAATGTCAAGGTTAAACGTTTTAACATGCCAACAATTCTTAATGAATTTTAAGAATTAGAAGATAAAAGTTAATTTATTTGTAGGTCATTTTTGTAAGCTAATTTATTTGTAAAGTTTGATCAATCAGTTTACAAGTTATTAGAGTGACTTAGCAAACACATTCTTTGAGCTAAAAGTTGAGCATTGTGGCCAAATTTTACATACAAGTAAATTGAATGATAATTGATAAACATAAAAGATGTTGAAGATTGGACAGATACACTTTATATTAGGATGGGCTCTAAGCTAAAAAAATAATAAAATAAATGGTTAAAGGATTTAATAGATTGGACTAAGAATATTATTCATTGTTATTTTGTTTTTATTTTAATTTCCAAAAATTGAATGATGATACATGTATCATGTGTGGCTGTTCTTCATTGAGTGAGTTATTTAATGTTAGATTCTTCCATGTAAAGGCATCAAAGAGAAATATTATTCTTTATTTTTATCTTCTCAAAAGTTCTCTAATGGTAGTTCTCATTAAATAACTAGAGCTCTTTAACCAATAAAAAGTTTGGTTAAAAGTCACTTTTATCCAATAATTTTATAAATGTACAATTTTAATCTTCCAAAATTTTTTTATAATAAATTTGATCCTTTTAATTTTTAAAATAAAAAAATATTGAACCACTTATTAATATGTTATTTAAAATTAAACAAAAAATAATGACATGCTCATGAACGGTACTACCTTCCCATTACTTGATCACATTAGTTTCCATGTAAAGAACATTACTTTTTACAATATATATTTTATTTTTTTTATATCAATTTAAACTTATAATTTGTTAAAATATTTTTAAATTTTTAATGCTATTATTTTTTATATAACTAACTCTCAAGTAGTATTATTTACAAAAATATTTTTTATTTAATTTTAGATAACATTAATGTGTGAATTAACATTACTTGATTTTGAAGACTATAAAGACCAAATTTATAATATAAAAATTAAGAGATTAAAATTATATACTTACAACTAAAAGTGAATTTAAAAAAATTAACCATTTAATTCTATTTCTTTTATGCCGCCCATCCTATCACTTATCATTGTAACAACTTTTAATGAAATTTAAGTATAGCAATATAGAGTAATATAGTAGTGGAATGGAAGTATGGAACTAATACGTACAAGAATTCTTGAAAGATGACACTATGTAATTTGATAAAAGTAGGCAAAAGAAGAGAAGAGACGACAACGCATGAGTCCACAAGGCACTGATAATATATTATAAATAGATAAATATTTTGATTAAACAATGACAATAATCTTGTTGACCATACAATCGTTTACCCTATTTCATGTCTTCAACTTGCCGAGTGATATCTATTATCCACTAATTTTTCACTTCTAACACACAAATCTATTCTAATATATTAAACACAAATATCACAAACATATTGTACAAAAACATTTTCAAAAATTAATTTCGACAAAAGCATTTTTAAGAATTCTTAATTAGAAATTTTTATCTAATTCATTTTGTCATATTTATTTATAAATTAAATTTTAATGATTTAAAATAAATTATATATAATTAAATGATTTTACACAGTAATATAAATTATTTATCTTAAATTTACAATATAACTTACATTTTCTTAAAAAAAATATTTATACAAATTCTAAACTAATTTATATATTAAAATATAATATGTATTTACATATAATTTATTATAAATTTTAATTATATATAATAAATATTTAGCCTAAATTCATTCCAAGATACTATAGTAGTAGTAGTTTTGATTAGAGCATCAGCAAAATCTACCATCTCAAACCTACACTTGAGCATACTGTTTGAGTAAACTTTTGCACGAGGGAAAATAAGATAAATAATTTAAACATATTACATTTTCCTCCATAAAAAAATGATCGTGCCACATCTTCCTCTCCTACCATTTTAAAATATACATTATTTTCCCCTATAAGATGAATGTCTTGCAATTAAATCTATTTTAATGTAAAATGAAATTACTATAGAATTTTTTTCTGACGATAATTCTCAACATAATTAAATTAACAGCAAGTTTTAAATATCTACTATGAACGTCGGAACCTTCGAAAAATAAATAACAATTAAAAATGAAATTTCAAATGCAACAATAGAAGTATTCAACACTTCATTATAACTTCTAAAACACTAAAATCAATAATAAAATGTTTGAAATTGGTTGTTGATAATACTAAACTTTTAGGAAAAGACAGAATATCAAAGATATATTAATAACTATTCAATATAATAAAAAAGTTCGCTTATGTTACGAACAAAATAATAGTTCATTTATGTTATAAAGGGCTAAACTTTGACTCATTTTTAAATGAGTAAAAAATGAGTAGTTAAAGCATATTTCAGGAGAGATATTTATCCAAAGAATTACTATGTCACATGAATCGATTTATACAAGTAAAGGAAAATTTTATGTGGTGAACCAAGGCAATGATGAAAATTTTGTTTATCCATATTATACAAGGTCATTAAGCTTACAGAAGGGGGTTAAGTAGAAGCATGTAGAGATAAGGTTTAGAGAAATCTAGTTGGCATATACTCATTTATCCTGAGAGGTAGACGATAGAACTCCTCATTTCTAACATCTCCCTTCCTATTCTGGAATGGACCCCACCATGGAAGTCCTCTGTCCACAGCTGTTTGTTTGCCTTCAAGTGTGTTGTCAATTATTGTCCCAACGATTATAGCCACAGTTGCGGGAGATGAGAATATGGTGTTCAAAATGTCATTGAACTGTTGTCACACAAAACAAGGTAGATCAATGTCACATGAATGCATTTTTCTCAAGCAAATAAGGATAATAATCACTTCAAAGATAACAAGTCAGCTTCAAAATCTTTAAATTGATAATTCAAATTGAACTGGAAGAGAAGATCAACAGTATATGTTTCCATATTTTGCCATGATAAGAGTAAATTCTTATAATTAGTTTTTATATTTAATCCTTGATATTTTAAAAACCTCCCATTAGTCTCTAACTTGATAAAATGTCATTCATTTAGTATTTTTCCTACTTTACTTTTCACGGTCGTTTAACATTAAAAAATAAAATATAAAAAAACATAATGAGAGACTAAAATGAATGGCCAAACTAAACCATGCAGGTCATTAAATGTAGGTTTTATGTCTGACTCAATCCTACAAAATCAAGTTATAAGATAAAGATTGTTCCTCACTTATATATTCTAATTTATGCATATCAGTGGTTGATATGACTGCAAAAAAATCTAAATCGATCTAAACTGAAATATGATCTGATCCATATTAAAAAAATCTAATTCATTTAGAGAAAAAACCAATTCAATCCACTTTACAAAACTGATTCAGTTATCTAATCCTAATCCATTTTTACAACGTGGATTGGTCGGGTCTATTTAAAAAAAACAAAAACGACCCATGAGTATAAAGTGAATAATTAAACTGCACCAATCTAATTTTAAAAAACTCGATCCATATTTTAAAAAAATTGAATCAATCCATCTTATAAAAAAGATATCGGTTGAAATTGATCAGTTCGGTTCGTTTTGAAATTTTCAAAAATCCAATCCACAACCACCCCTGCTAGTTGATGTAGATCTTCAACACAGGTTGCACCTAAATACTGCCTGAACATCTACTGCATTATTCATTGAACATCTATTCACTGATCTAACAAAATAGTGTTGGCAGAAGTTTATTTTTTTCCCTAAAAGGTAGCATCTAATTGATCCATTTGCCTAATCTCAAAACATAGCCTTAATTATGGGTTCACGAAAGATATTTTTTAATCAGTAGGAAAGATTACAACAAGGACAACGAGGAATCGAACCTAAAGTCTTCATGCATTTACCCGAACCCATCACTAAGCCAGCCCTAGTGGTTCTGGTTTCACGTAAGATGATATGCCTAATTAATCACAGGGAAATAAGAGATTTGAAGAGTCACTTACCCATCCACCATCTGTTCTAACTGGACCATGACCATCAGGTGCTGTGTTCATGACAAAATATTGTGGTATTGATATCCCAAGAAACAAGGTTAGACCCAGAACATAGATATTTCTTATGGAATTGGTATTTGCAAACTGTATAAAAGAAATCCCAACAGCAGCTGCAAAAAAACCAAAATAATAAAATAAAAGGCTTGCATCTACTAGTCAAAAAGTATTATTATAATATATGTAATAGCAGCAGCACCTACCCACAATACCAAATAGAACACAGTATATAGCAGCAAATATTGGTAGGGGAATCGATGCGAAAAAGGCTCCGAATTTCCCTGAAAGAGACAGTAAAATAATTACACCAAAAATGTAAAACTGAAAGGAAAATCTACCCACATGAGTATCAGATGGAATATAGTACCAAATATAGAGAAGAAGATCATAAAACCACATGATATTTGCACCACTCTGCGGCTCCCTATATGCGTTAGACCAAGTAGACCAACATTTTCACTGCAATTATCAAAAAGATTATTAGATTTTTACTCACAGAATTCTTAATCTCAAATCTTATACATATTCCTCTTGCATATGGAAGTTAGCAAAATTCTTGCTAAAAAACTACGATTTAAATATAAAATAGATGTTACAACTCAATAACATGTGAAATCACAATTTAACACATGGATTATATTAGAACTCCAGATACATTACAAATTTTATTCCTTCCCTCACCCACTCTTTC